ACACAGCTGCCAGTTAGTGGCATAACGCGCTGTTATTCAGCACAGTGCCTATATGAGAGCAGTAAGACAAAGCGCCCAGATAAACACTAATTAGCTGGTTTGGTTTAGTCAAATGGCAGCAATCATCAGGGAATGATCTCATTGTCTTTGGTTAATGATAATCTCTGCTGTTCATCATCTGAAATACAGATTGATGAAACTATTCTCAATGTTTTGCTGCATTCGATAACAATGTTTATTCTGCTTCTGAATTTGAATTAGATAAGCATCGGATTTCAAAATAAGTCAGGCGACCAAACAAATTAGATCACCCTCAGATGATTTAGATTAGAAAAGCAAAACAAATGTAATGACAAAAGTTCTATCTACCTCCAAGACAGGCAACTTCATAAGCTCCATCTTACACAGTGAAGTGTGTTGATGCCTCGAGGCTTCCTCTGTCTTTCTTCCTCAGTCTCTACCCCTCTTCCTCCCTCTTTCATTCAGTCAACTCTTACCTCCCCTGCTTTAATCTGCTCTACTCAAACCCTTCCGTCCCCCTCTCTCTCCCGATCCCATCTACAGACGCCTCACACGGGCCCCAAACCCAATGAGCGTAGGGTCACCCTGGTGGTAATCTGATCAGACAGACAGTGAGATGAGACGAGCCCAGCTGCAAGTGCTCCTCTCCTGGGTCTCCGGACTCTGAAGCACCATGAATTCCTCTAATGCTATCAGAGCCATCTGAATGGCACTAGAGCAGGAGGATGGTCCTGTAGAGGATAGGGTCAATAGGGAAAATAAAAAGAGCCAAAGCCTGGAGTCTGGGAAAGGCCTAATTAAAGGGCTGGGAGACAAACTGGCTGTCAGGAGGAAAGGTAATATTATTAGGGTCTGTGGAGAGAGGGAGAGAGAAGGGCTGCAGTCTATAAAATGTCAGGAGAGGGGAGCTCTCCTGAGCCCGAGGTCGAGCGGCCTAAATGAGTTTACAGCTCAATGTGCTTAAACTCACCGGGCTCCATACAATTAAGTCCTTGCTCAGGTTTGTGTTTTGTGGGTGTAGAGGACTGATAAGTTAATGGGAGTAGACTAATCGGATTGCGACTCAATCGTCTCGTCCGAAATGAATTGTGCGTTTTGATACGCCAAACCAAATTGATACACTTTGATTGATACATCTTCTAAGCAAATAAAGAGAATTAAACAGGAACATGGTTGCATATTTGAAGAAAGAGATCATTGGACGCCAACATCTAAGAAAAATGTCTTTATTTTACAACTTTAAAAAGAGACTTTTAAGCACAAAGATTCACTCTTTTATATAAACACTTTCTTCATCTGCATAAAAAAATGGTAGCATGTGCACATTGTGCTTGTCTGTACAACCGCTCTCTGGGCGCCCCTCGGCTGCGGGGACCCAGTCAACATTTTATTGCATAAGTCACATGTGATCCGCACATGTCAATTTACAGGATAGTGGAAAGAATCACGTTGAAAAGGAGAGAAACTAACGACTGTAGAAAGTTTCCAGTGAACAGTGAACAACAGCAGCAGCTTTCACAAAGGAAGGCGTTGCACATTGTCCAGAAGAAACTAAATCCAACAGAAATGTAGACCAACTAATGCAGTTACTGTGGTTGTGCTTTACTCTCAAACAAAAAACAGCTTGCCCTAAGCAAACACTTCCACCATTTAAACTAATGCTAAACAAAACAAGCTGGTAAAATACAACCCTTGAGGAGGATCTGCAGTTATGAGCCTATTTTTCCCTTTGAAATGTGAATGAGCACTAACGCTAGTTGTCCGGTTGCACACATCCCCTTAGACAGCCGAGTTTTACATATCTTCTGTTTGCTATAACTTCCCACGCTACTCTATAGCATCTACATTTCAAAAACTAAATTTTTCGAAAGGCAGTTGATTCCCCCCCCGTTGTCTCTGAGGAGAGAAGGCAGACACACTCGTTTAAGCATTACCGCTTGTCATCTTGTGATATCTCAGACTTGAGACTGACAAACTAAATTCTTAATGGAAATCAGCAGAAATTAAAATAACACCTCAAACAACCTCGACTTTTAAAGACTTTGGTATGAACAAAATGAAGCTTTCAATAAACACAGGTCCTATTGGTAGGCCTAACTGTCCCAATTTCCCTTTAAAGAATGTACTTCTTTCTTAGTCCCGTCCAATGGTAAGTATGAAATATGCATAGTGGTATCCATGAGAAGAAATGTGATTGAATGGAAATGATCAACCAATGATTAAGAGAATCAAACAATATCCATTTAATATCCAAATCAGGCGATCTCAAGTTATGACAGGTTCAGAGTGCAATTCATCAGCAACCAATGCCTTGCCTCCAGAATGAAATCAGAGCAGGGCACAAGAGGGCAAAGGGTCACAGAGGGTGAAGCAGTGACCGTCTGAACCCTGTGACTGACATGGAAGCTGGGAGATCAGGTGGAGCAGGTAGAAACACAGCCTGGTGCCAGATGTGTTTGTGCCATCTGGTGAAATCCTATGGTCATCGTCGTGCTAAAACAACAGGTCTGGGACCAGGCTAGGAAACACAAGGTTGGGGCTTTTGAGTTTGAGAACGACTGCACCTTCGACTGACACTGAATTTCACTGATCTAGTAAACGAAGGTAAACCCCATTGACATTGACTAAACCATTTCCTCTGCATGTTCTAATGAAAACATGGAGCTCACTCCAAGCTCTTTCGACCTTTTCCTCTCTGACAGCAGTGGTTGATACCAGACTCCCACCAGTAGTAGGCTTTCCTTTCATTCTTTTATATGTCATTGGCATCGCCTCAAAGAGCGAAGACCTACGTTACTAAAATCGTTGGATTTCGCCTTTATCAAGTTAAAAAGTGATTTACGAAAATGGGAGAAATGGAGTGTTCCTTTGAACAAAGAACATTTCAATCCCCTTACGCAATTTAGAATTCCTGCAGCCGGTTGGAGACGGTGAAACCCCATCCCTCCGCAGAACATCCTTTTCACAAACCATCTTTGATCTGACTCCATATCAGTCAGAAGTGAAACCGTCTTAGTCATGGCCAGCCATTTTTCAACAGCCAGTTAAAAAGCTGAATCATTCCTTGCTGCCTCGGCTGCACCACAGCCAGGCTCTCAAGACTCAAACCTATTAACTTTCTGAATTAGAGGTGGCTCTGCAACCCTCTTCGCTCTCATTCACCTGTCAATAGGCCAGGCAGGGAGATTAAACAGGCCTGAGCCCACACATGCTAACGGCTGGGAGAAAGACTGACTGTCATTAGCTTGCTTTCCGCTAGCGTCTCCCTGTGCCAAGAATTAGGGCAGCGTTCAAAACAACCTCAGCCGCAGGCGATGTTCTTGTTGAGAAACTAAAGATGTTGACAGTGTTCCTCGAACAACATGACGCCTCAATCTGCCCACTCTCTCACACACACACACACACACGTTTCAAGAATTGTAGTGTAGTGATAAGCAAATGATTCATATGATTTCAAGCTTATTCATAGAGTAAACTAAACTCAGTGTAGTAGCTAGTATTAATGATAATGAATGCAAAAACAGGATATGGATATGATGACAGCATTACTGAAACCATAACAATACTCTGAAAGAGAAATTACATAATTCCTTTACATTTCATTTGCTGATCAGACCCTCACAACTGGAGAGGGTTCACAAAATCAACCTACGGTGAAATAAAAATCAGTGAAATCACTAAGGAAGAATTCAAGATGGATTTTTAATGTACATGAACAGGGCTCCGGTCTCAGACTCTGAGGGGAGGCGGGCCATTTCCTGGCAGTGGGAAAAGATAGGATGTAATGTAACGACTATAGCTAATGCCTCTGGCTCCAGCATGTGGAGGATGATGGGCCGACCCCAGGGAGCTGTAATGGAAGCAAGTTGTGGCCAGGGATCAGGGATGCTGCCTCCCATTGCTGGGCTGAAATACAACCTGTGTCCCACAGCAATCAAACTGACCTGAGCGCAGCCACACGGACGCCCCTGAACAGATTAGGCCTACGGGGCTCCACAGGGCTCCATCTTCGCCCCGAGATGAGATTGTGGTGAGGCGGTTATGAGGCCTATGGGAATGGGGATGCTTTCTGGAGATGAGAGGGGGTGAGATGTTGCTGCCCCTAAGAGCTGATCGCAGGTCAGATCTGTATATTTTATTAGGTTGGGATCGGGTTAAGATGAGCTGATTCTAGATCAGCTGGGGTTACTGATCATAATCGAGGGGAGCTATTGCTAGTGAATGATGGTAGTTCCTTATCTTGCAACTCTGAACACCAATCAGTGGACTGTTTACTTTCATAGAGCAAAAAATAACATTTGGTACGTTCAAAACAGCTATTATCAATGTTGTTGGAAAACTGGTCAGTCGGGGGAAAACCTCATTCAAAAAACATAATTTAGAAAGATTCTCCTCCAAAAGAGTCTTTATAAATTAGACTCTCCTCCAAATAATTATATCATACTCTATCTAGTATTTACAGTATGGTTTCAGTCAGCTATTTCTTTAGCCATCCCAAAACACAGATGAAACAGTAAAAAAATACAAATTGGAGGGGAGACTAGTGAAGGAACAAAATAAGTGTTGGAACAAAGCTATTCAATAAACCCACTCAAGACATTGTTCTTTCTCTGCATGCTGATTAGTGAAGAGCCAAATAGGGTGGGGAACATACTTTTACTCCCATACACACAGACACACTCCCTGAAGCTACGTTTGAGCATAATTACAACAGCTAGCTCGGAAAAGACCACAGCTGCAATTATAGTGGCAAAAATAAGACCCGGGACTGCAACGGCATGGAGCAAACACTTACCGCTTTTAGACTGCAACAGACTGAACGCACCTTTCACCCTCTCTGTAACCTTACCAGATCACACACACTTAGCTACGTAGGCTGCACACACACGCACGTATGTATGCACAGACATACATACATACATACAAACCGCCCTATTCCCTTCCACCTCCCAAAAGAGTTTATGGTCCAGGACCGGCTCCTAGTTGTGCTTGGCCCGCCCCCCCTTCAGGTAGCTCTTCCAGCGCTTCACCACGTCCCGGAAGATGGGCGCATTGTCGATGGACGCCAGCAGCTGCAGCTGGTTGATGTGCGTGGTGTGGTAGTCCCAGCGTGCCAGGTTGGGGGCCGTGCCCAGCATGTAGTGGCGCAGGTCGTAGATGCTGCCCGAGCCCGTGTCGTACAGAGGCAGCATGGCCTTGAGCGACTCCATGCCCCGAGAGAACAACATGGCCGCCTCCCGCCCTAGTTTCTCCCCTGCCGTCTCGGCCAAATCGTGGAGACCGAGCAGCGAGTATATGAAGCCGTTGAGCACGAAGGAGCCCGGCGTAGTGGGGTACTCCTCGTACCAGTCGTACTTATTCATGAAGACAGCCTTGACGCCGTGCTGATCAGAGGGCAGCTTGTAGGGGCCGGTGGCGCGCAGCGCAGCGTTGAGGTATGTCTGGTCCTTGGTTAGCAGGTAGGCGCGGACCAGAGTCGACATGGCCTGGCCCTGCGCCATGGCTGAGTACCAGCCGGGCTCCAGAGGGCGGAAGCCCTCGCCCAGCTTGCGCGTGACCATGATGGGCCATCCGCCACGCTCGTCCTGGTTGCGCAGCAGCCAGTCGCTGGCGGCGAAGAAAGCAGCCGTGTGCGCCGTGGTGGCGATGGTGACATTGTCGATGGTGCCGCGCCCGCGGACTATCAGTCTCACAACCCGCCGCGGCATCACCTGGAAACAAGGGGGGGGAAAGGAGGTTGTTGTTTAACTGAAGCCATGTTTAACATGATAGGGAGACACTAACTCCCTACCTACCATGATTCACAAAACCTTTACAACAATTTTACTTCAAAGTTTCTAGTACTTTTTGACCTTTTGGGTATATGTTATTATAACACTGTAAATAGTATTTTATGGTCTTAACCAACATTTTTAAATGTATTGTTTTGTTAAATGTATTGTTTCCATATATTTCATTGTTTCTTTACAGCAGGGCTCTCCAACCCTGTTCCTGGAGAGCCACCCTCCTGTAGGTTTTAACTCCAACCCTGTTCCTGGAGAGCCACCCTCCTGTAGGTTTTAACTCCAACCCTGTTCCTGGAGAGCCACCCTCCTGTAGGTTTTAACTCCAACCCTGTTCCTGGAGAGCCACCCTCCTGTAGGTTTTAACTCCAACCCTGTTCCTGGAGAGCCACCCTCCTGTAGGTTTTAACTCCAACCCTGTTCCTGGAGAGCCACCCTCCTGTAGGTTTTAACTCCAACCCTGTTCCTGGAGAGCTACCGTACTGTTTGTTTTCACTACAACCCTGTTCCTGGAGAGCTACCCTCCTGTAGGTTTTCACTACAACCCTAATCTACTGCACCTGATTCTAATAATTAGCTGGTTGATAAACTTAATCAACTTGGGTTGGAGTGAAAACCTACAACAGGGTTGGAGAGCCCTGCTCTACACAATTAAGACTGAAGGCGTTAACCTTGGTGGCCTTGACGGCCTTGGTGTTGGACAGGCCCAAGCCCTTCCTCAGGTCGGTCAGCAGGTCCCGGGTGACTGTGGACCAGGCGGCACGCGGCCCGATGCCATAGGTGATGTCGCGGCCGCTGAAGGCGATGAGCTGACCGGAGGTGACATAGTGGATGATGAAGGGCGCACCCTTCTCTGTGGTCTCCAGCACCACAGACACGCTTCCGTTGGAGGTGAACTTGAGATCGAAGGAGATTATAAAGTCCTTGGAGTTGCCCAGGGGGAGGGAGACACCTTCAGAGTTCTCTGTAGTGACGGGAGGGAGAAACAACATGGTGGGTTTAGTGATTTCGCAGTTCTTCAGAGTGCTGGTAGTCACTAGGGTCCAACGTTCTCTGAACTAATGACAATGTGTTGTTTGTTCTCATGGTTAAGAACTGGGTGAGGGGGATTTTGAAGTTGGATTTTTTTGTAACAAATTGCTGTATTTCAAAAAAGGCCCATCCCACCCAAGACAGTTTGTCTTAACCGTGCAACATCATAAAGCGCTACTGTGTCTTTCTGTAGCCTTGCATTGTAATAGGACTTTGAGAAGTCTCTCTCACCCTCTCTCCCTCAGAAGCATGGGTTCTGAGAGAAAGTCCCCCCTATGGGATCCTGGTTAGTATGCGTGTGAGACAGAGAGGGAGAGGGGGGGTGAGAAAGAGAGGGACTAGAGGGAGGGAGAGAGAGGGGTAGTAGAGAGAGAGGGGAAGAGAGAGGAGGAGAATAGACCAAGGTGCTGCTCGGCCCAAATCCTAACAATACTTAACCTACATCAGGAGACCATTTTTGAGGTCTGAATAAAAATTCAACATTTAGGGTGTAGTTACCCTTTAATTCCAGTGTGCACCTAGCAAGAGGCTGTTGCTGTTTAGCTATGTTTTCGTAGCACACATTTGCATTGTCGCACATGTGGGTAGAGTTTGCAAAACAAATATCCACTGGATTGATGCAAATAATCATGATATTCTGCCAGGTAAGCATCTGTTATTTGTAGTTAACATTTAATTTAGAAGGTTTTTGGGAAAGCTTTTCCATCTACCGGAAGATTTTTTAATTAGCATCATCGCTAATGTCTACACGTAGTGGTAGCTGCGATCACCTCACATACATAGACGGGGAATTATCGTTGCCTCTTCAGAAAGTAGCAGGAAATACGAATCACTGATGCGTTCTGTTCATGTCATGATAAACTTGGGAAAATTAATACATGTTTTATACATATAGTTGATTCCCTACTAAGTTCAATACATTATTGAATATTGTTGAATTACGTTTTATTGTCTGGATTACGTCCGCATCGGATTCCTTCCGCATCTAGAATTGCAACACTTCCTTGGGCAGCAGCACACACAGTTTGACAATACTACTAGGATATGTTGAATCCCTAACACATACAGTACACCAGTCAAAAGTTTGGACACACCTACTCATTCAAGGGTTTTTCTTTATTTGTAAACATTTTTACATTTGAGAATAATAGTGAAGACATCAAAACTATGAAATAACACATATGGAATTATGTAGTAACCAAAAAAGTGGTAAATAAATCAAAATATATTTTATATTTGAGATTCTTCAAATAGCCACCCCTTGCCTTGATGACAGCTTTGCACACTCTTGGTATTCTCTCAACCAGCTTCATGAGGTAACCACCTGGAATGCATTTCAATTAACAGGTGTGCCTCCTTAAAAGTTAATTTGTGGAATTTCATTCCTTCTTCATGCGTTTGAGCCAATCAGTTGTGTTGTGACAAGGTAGGGGGGGTATACAGAAGATAGCCCTATTTGGTAAAAGACCAAGTCCATATTATGGCAAGAACAGCTCAAATAAGCAAAGAGAAACGACAGTCCATCATTACTTTAAGACATGATGGTCAGTCAATACAGAACATTAAGAACTTTGAAAGTTTCTTCAAGTGCAGTCGCAAAAACCATCAAGCGCTATGATGAAACTGGCTCTCATGAGGACCGCAACAGGAATGCAAGACCCAGAGTTACCGCTGCTGCAGAGGATAAGTTCATTAGAGTTACCAGCCTCAGAAATTGCAGCCCAAATAAATGCTTCACAGAGTTTAAGTCACAGACACATCAACATTAACTGGTAAAATGGGACTGTGTGAATCAGGCCTTCTTGGTCGAATTGCTGCAAAGAAACCACTACTAAAGGACACCAATAAAAAGAAAATACTTGCTTGGGCCAAGAAACACGAGCAATGGACATTAGACCGGTGGAAATGTGTCCTTTGGTCTGGAGTCCAAATTTGAGATTTTTGGCTCCAACCGCTGTGTCTTTGTGAGACGCAGAGTAGGTGAACGGATGATCTCAGCATGTGTATTTCCCACCGTAAAGCATGGAGGAGGAGGTTTTATGGTGTGGGGGTGCTTTGCTGGTGACACTGTGATTTATTTAGAATTCAAGGCACACTTAACCAGCATGGCTACCACAGCATTCTGCAGCGACACGCCTTCCCATCTGGTTTGGGCTTTGTGGGACTATCATTTGTTTTTCAACAGGACAATGACCCAACACACCTCCAGGCTGTGTAAGGGCTATTTTACCAAGAAGGAGAGTGATGGAGTGCTGCATCAGATGACCTGGCCTCCACAACAGATGGTTTGGGATGAGTTGGACTGCTGAGTGAAGGAAAAGCAACCAACAAGTGCTCAGCATATGTGGGAACTACTTCAGGACTGTTGGAAAAGCATTCCAGGTGAAGCTGGTTGAGAGAATGCCAAGAGTGTGCAAAGCTGTCATCAAGGCAAAGGGTGGCTATTTAAAGAATCTCAAATATAAAATATATTTTGATTTGTTTAACACTTTTTTGGTTACTACATGATTCCATATGTGTTATTTCATAGTTTTGATGTCTTCACTATTATTCTACAATATAGAAAATAGTAAAAATAAAGAAAAACCCTGGAGTGAGTAGGGTGTGTGTGTGTGTGTGTGTGTGTGTGTGTATGTATATGTGTATATATATATATATATATATATGTATATATGTATGTACACACACACACACACATGCATACACACTTTCTTCCAAATAGAGTTCATCTTCTGAACTTCTCCAAAACTGTTAAGACCCCTTGTCAGTGGCTAAGGCTCCCTCCCTACTACTAAGTCTGCACCCCACAGCACTCTGAAAACACTCAGCGGAGGAGACGCTGTTAACGTTTTTGAAAGAGAGAGACATGATAAATAGAGATAAAAGGAGGGGCGGAGGGATGGCTTTAAGAATCCCCCAGTCAGTCAGTCAGTCAGTCAGTCAGTCAGTCAGTCAGTCAGTCAGTCAGTCAGTCAGTCAGTCAGTCAGTCAGTCAGTCAGTCAGTCAGTCAGTCAGTCAGTCAGTCAGTCAGTCAGTCAGTTAGTCAGTCGGTTAGTTAGTCAGTTAGTCGGTTAGTTAGTCAGTCGGTTAGTTAGTCAGTCAGTCGGTTAGTTAGTCAGTCAGTCAGTCGGTTAGTTAGTCAGTTAGTTAGTTAGTCAGTCGGTTAGTTAGTCAGTCAGTCGGTTAGTTAGTCAGTTAGTCAGTCAGTTGGTTAGTTAGTCAGTCAGTCAGCCAGCCAGCCAGTTAGTTAGGCAGCCATCCAGTCAGCCAGTCAGCCAGCCAGTCAGTCAGTTAGTTAGTTAGTTAGTCAGTTAGTCAGTCAGTCAGTCGGTTAGTTAGTCAGTTAGTCAGTCAGTCGGTTAGTTAGTCAGTTAGTCAGTCAGTCGGTTAGTTAGTCAGTCAGTCAGTCAGCCAGCCAGCCAGTCAGTTAGTCAGTCAGTTAGTCGGTTAGGTAGTCAGTTAGTTAGTCAGTTAGTTAGTTAGTCAGTCAGTCGGTTAGTCAGTTAGTTAGTTAGTCAGTCGGTTAGTCAGTCAGTTAGTTAGTCAGTCAGTCAGTCAGCTAGTCAGTCAGTTAGAGAGAAAAATAGTAAGAGAGAGAGAGAGAGAAAGACACAGACCGAGAGAGACAGAGAGAGCGAGAGAGACAGCGACACAGAGAGACAGAGACACAGAGAGAGACAGACCGAGAGAGAGAGAGACACAGACAGAGAGAGCGAGAGAGAGAGAGAGAGCGCGAGAGAGAGAGAGAGAGAGCAAGAAACCGAGAGAGACAGAGAGACACAGAGAGAGCGAGAGAGACAGAGAGAGAGAGACAGAGACACAGACAGAGAGAGAGAGACAGAGACACAGACAGAGCGAGACAGAGACCGACAGAGAGAGACAGAGAGAGAGAGACAGTCAGGCTGGCAGGCAGGGCCCCAGGTTTCTACAGCTCTTTAATGCACTCATAAATCCATTACTTAAGGCAACCCAGAGAGTAAGTGGATTTGTACTGTGGCCCTGTGATTACTCTGCCATCAATAAGTGATGGTCCGGGAATACAGACGAGATCCCATCTCCTCTCTGATGCTGCTGCTGCTGCTTATCACTGGGCTTGAGAGAGAGAGACTTTGCTAGGTTGTCTGAGGCACAGGTGCACTAATACATACAGTGCCTTCAGAAAGTATTCACACCCCTTGACCTTTTTCCACATTATGTTGTGTTACAGCCTGAATTTAAAATGGATTCAATTGAGATTGTTGTGTCACAGATCAACACACAGCACCCCATAACGTCAAAGAGGAATTATGTTTTTAGAAATGTTGAAACATTTATAAAAAATGAAAAGCTGAAATTAGTCAATAAGTATTCTACTCCTTTGTTATGGCAAGCCTAAATAAGTTCAGGAGTAAAAATATGCCTAACAAGTCACATAATATGTGCAATAATAGTGTTTAACATTATTTTTTAATGACTACCCCATCTCTGTCCCCAACACATACAATTATCTGTAAGGTCCCCTCAGTCGAGCAGTGAATCTCCAGCACAGATTCAACCACAAAGACCAGGGAGGTTTTCCAATGGTCCGCAAAGAAGGGCACCTAATGGTAGAGGGTTAATAAAAAAAGTAGACATCGAATATCCCTTTCAACATGTTGCAGTTATTAATTACACTTTGGATGGTGTATCAATTCACTCAGTCACTACAAAGATACAGGCGTCCTTCCTAACACAGTTGCCCTGTCAAAAGGCTGATGTGGATGCGGTGTTGGAGTCAGGCGCAGGACACAGAAGCTTAGTCGATCCGACTTTAATAGTCACAGGAGCAAAATACAAAACCAACGGGCCTCATAAACAGGAGGCGAGCGAATACGTAAAACAGTGCGTAAAGTGCGAACAGCACTAAACAATAAGAAACAAATAACCTACACCAACAGACAAGGACAAGGACACACAACTACAAACAAAACCAAAGGAAACTTATAGGTGACATAATCAATACGTGATATAGAACAGGTGCACTAATCAGACAAAACCAAACAAACATAGATAACATCAAACGGTGGCAGCTAGTACTCCGGGGGACGACGAACGCCGAAGCCTGCCCGAACAAGCAGGAGGAGCAGCCTCGGCGGAATTCGTGACATGCCCGAGAGGAAGGAAACCGCTCAGGGATTTCCTTTTCATTCTGTCATTTATGTTCGTACTGTGGAGTACTCCTTTCACAGCCACTAAATTCACAGCTAATGGTGATAGATTTAATTTTTTTAGTGGCTGTGAAAGGAGATAACTGAGGATGAATCAACAACATTGTCGTTACTCCACAGTACGAACATAAATGACAGAATGAAAAGGAAGCCCATACAGAATAAAAATATTCCAAAACATTGCAAAGAACTGAACATTTGTCCTGAACACAAAGCGTTATGTTTGGGGCAAATCCAACAACACATCACTGAGTACCACTTCATATTTTCAAGCATGGTGGTGGCTGCATCATGCTTGTCATCGGCAAGGACTAGGGAGTTTTTTTTGATAAAAATAAACAGAATAGCGCTAAGTACAGGAAAAATCCTAGATTAAAACTGGGTTCAGTCTGCTTTCCAACAGACACTGGGAGACAAATTCACCTTTCATCAGGACAATTACCTAAAACACAAGGCCAAATACATTGAAGTTGCTTACCAAGATGACATTGAATGTTCCGGAGTGGCCTAGTTAAAGTTTTGACTTAAATCGGCTTCAAAATCTATGGCAAGACCTGAACATCTCTGTCTAGCAATGATCAACAACCAACTTGACAGAGCTTGAAGATTTAAAAAAAAGAATAATAGGCAAATATTGAACAAAGCAAAGCTCTTAGAGTCTTACCCAGAATAACTCACAGCTGTAATCACTGCCAAAGGTGATTCTAACATGTATTAAGTCTTACTTATCTAAATCAAGATAGTGTTTTATTTTCAATATTTATTTTCCATAAATAAAAACAAAATGTTAACGGTTCGGTACTATATATATTTTTTTTACTTTCGATACTTCTGTCAAATGTGTCTCACGGATCAAGTCTATCAGCGCAGCCAAAGTCACCGAAGGAGCGCACCGTGTGCCTGCTCCCCATACTCACTGCTAGCCTGCACTGGTAGTCTGGGCTGCATCATATTAGCTCCTCACTCATGCTGCACAGAAGTTAACACACTTGAATAATGCGACACGGCATGTAGAAATGTTGAAACTGTTAAAATTACTGTTCGCAAAATAATGTCCATAAAGGCTAAAATACTTTACAATGCAAGAAGACACCGGTAGCTTCCAACTTTGTAGGCTAACTTTCCACCAAAAAGCTGAATTAATTAACTTGATCGGTCTCCAACACATCTCTCTCTCAACCAAAGATGTATTGCCTCAGAGAACTGAGGGCTCCGACAGGCCGAACCCATCTTGGCTCGTGAATGACGTCATAAAAAAAAAAAAATTACTAGTTAAAAAGACAGTGGCGATTTTATTAAATAAGCTACTTCTATGCAAATGTTGATCAGTACAAAAAAAATTACGTGCCACATGGAAGGGAAACAGATTTTCATGGGGCTACAGATGATGTCAGCCAACACAAGCTCAATAACTCAATGCATGTACACACTCCAATTGAATATACATTCACAGCCTAGGCTACATCTTGATTTACCCAGCTTATCAATACAAATGTACCATCTTTTAAAAAATTACCATTATGTTGTTATGTACACTACCGGTCTAAAGTTTTAGAACACCTACTCATTCAAGGGTTTTTCATAATTTTTATTATTTTCTACATTGTAGAATAAATAGTGAAGACATCAAAACTATGAAATAACACTTATGGAATCATGTAGTAACAAATCAAAATAAATGTTATATTTGAGATTCTTCAAATAGCCACCCTTTGCCTTGATGACAGCTTTGCACACTCTTGGCATTCTCTCAACCAGTTAGCTGAGAGAGAGATGTGAGGGAGATCGATATAGTGGATTAATTACTTTTTCGGTTACTACATGATTCCATATGTGTTATTTCATAGTTTTGATGTCATCACTAATATTCTACGACGTAGAAAATAGTAAAAATAAGAGAAAAGGCCTTGAATGAGTAGGTGTTCTAAAACTTTTGACCGGTAGTGTAGTTAAGTTGGTATAAACAAAGTCAAACTGATCGTATAACTGATTCATTAATGCATACATGACTGTCTCTGAAAAATTCTGATGTGAAACATTTCAAATGTAATGATATTGAACTCAAAAAGACGCCCAACGATCGAAACAGAACAGTAGCTGAGTTTATCTGTCTGGATCAGGGGCCATTCCGGGACTGTGGATAATATACCTTCTGTTTTTTGCCGTGGTATCGTTTCGGTAACGAGTATCGTGATGGTATCGAGTATTGTGATACTAAACCTGGTATCAAAGTCAAAATTCGGGTATCGTGGCACACACACACACACTTAGCCTAACGAAACACACAAGCACGCACACACTAATAGACCACAGCTCTAGCCATATGGGGCTTAGCTGGTGACAACCATTGCTCCACTGTCTCCTTATAGAATGGCCCTGCTAATGTTAAATGGGGTTCGATCTGCTGCAGGGGGACAACTGCATTACAGGATGATCAACAACAGAATGGGCATCGGTGCCCAGAATCCAGGCGCCTCTCTGCCATTGACGACTCTGAGACGTACAGTAGTGGCCACAATCTGACCTGTATGGGATGTGTAGGCCACAGGCTTCTAATCAAATGAAACTCATTGAGCCGCTTGTCAGAGACTCAAGGGGGGGGCGTTCAGAGCCAGGGCTCAGACCCAGATGAGGAGATACACAGAGAGCGAGCGAGAGTGCGAGAGAGAGCGGGATAGTGAGAGAGCAAGCGAGCTGAGATTGTTAAGGAATAGACAGGAGAGAGAGAGGAGATTGAGATCTGAATAGAACAGAACATTCTAACCTCATTCTCATCCACCATAGAAATTGAATGATATTCTTGTGTGATTCTATTTCCATCTACCTCCACGTACTACAGTCATGCATGTGCTGCTGCCATCCTACCTGGGCTACTGAACTGGCGCACGGATGTGGCACGGCCCTTGTCGTGGAGCCGTGTGAGGCTGCAGCCCTTGGGGACCGTCCAGGGCCCGCTGGGGGAGCCAGCACGGTTGTCCTTCTCCTCGGCCGTGTCGTACAGCTCCACATGGGGTGGCCGCTCCGTCAGGTTCTTGCTGTAGTGGCTCAGGCCGTACTGGGCGATCTGGATGGCATAGAAGTAGCCCTGGGGACCCCACTGGGTGGAGAGCGGCACGCCTGGGGGAGGGGGGAAGAAGAGAGCGAGAGATTACTTTACATAATGAAACAAGAGTGATTACACATGAAAACATGGTCAGTTGAGGCACCTGTTTGTAAAGTTAATGCTTGAGCAGCAGTACACAGCGACGCCACTGAATAATTACTGTCTTGTTTTCAGAGATACTTCATTCATGATACACTGAGTTATCATTTGATTTCAGTTGCAATGAGTTACTGTTGGTATTTCAAACTCTTTTCACCTTTAAATTAGAAACAGTGAGAGGAGAGGGAAGAGGGGCCAGGGACAGAGAGACAGACAGAGGGAGAGAACGAGACAGGGGAGGAGAGACAGGGAAGGAGACGAGACAGGGGAGGAGAGACGAGACGGGGAGGAGAGACGAGACAGGGGAGGAGAGGAGACTGGAGAGGGGAGGAGAGGAGACGAGACTGGAGAGGGAGAGGGTTGGGAGGAGAGAGAGACAGAGGTAGACCGATGTAAAGAGCGAGGGAGGGGGTGGCAGAGACAAAGTGAAGCGAGACATGGCCTATTTTAGAAACAAAGATGGAGAAATAGGCAAGCACACAGAGAGAAAGGAAAATGGTCACAGTAAGTGGGCAGACAGGCAGACAGACAAGACCGTGATGTGAAATTCAAGCAAATCTATTTCCAACGTCAGGCACCCGGAGACTAGCCTCCCTGTCCCACTAGAAATAGCCTGGGCTCCCTGGCGGGCGTCTTCCTGATGAATAGATAGTTTACCTAAAGAGCTCATGACAGAGACAGCAGAACCCACTAGCCATGCCAATCACATTAGCGGCTAGCGTTAGGCTAGCCATGACAATCACATTAGCGGCTAGCGTTAGGCTAGCCATGACAATCACATTAGCGGCTAGCGTTAGGCTAGCCATGACAATCACATTAGCGGCTAGCGTTAGGCTAGCCATGACAATCACATTAGCGGCTAGCGTTAGGCTAGCCCATAGGGTTTTTGGAGGTGGTGGGGGTGATTATTCTGCATTAGAAGCAGTGAGGGGGTGTGAATCAGTTTGCCATGGTTTTTCTCCTGCAACAAGACAACACTGGACCAATGGGTGTGTCTGAATAGTTTGAAGAAGCTTCCTCCTCTCCTCATATCTCCTTTCCTTCATCTGTTTCCAATGTGAAAAAAGAGCTGGACTGGTGCAGGTAACATCCTGGTAGGGATCCACCATATTGCTTTCAGCTATCCTCAGTTCAGAGCAGATGAAGGAGAGGAGATGAGGAGAGGAAGACTGAGTATTAACCGGCAAGACCAGACAAAAAGACGGCAGGGCTCAGGACTATCAATAATGGAATAGTTGAGGTTGTGACGTTTTCTAAATTTGGGAACATAGTGTTCAGTATTCATTAGTCTGCCTTCAGTTCTCCTTACAACACCCTGTCAGTTGCCAGGTCCCCATCTATCTATCCATCTATCTCACACCGACGCTCAGCGTGCACATCCATTATTTCTTAGGTGCTGCTGGGTAAAAAAAAAAGAGACTTGTCTGAAGTAGAAAGGACACCTGCCGCATGATGACTCATTCTCTCCAAAAAAATGTGTGTGAAAAATGGCTTATAATGGTTTGACTATTGCTTAGATCTTCCTGGGCTATGTTCACTTTAAAGATGTTGCCAGCCATTCTCACTTAAAACTTCATTTACACTAGGGCCGCGTGCCACCAGGACTGCAGATGTAAGCACCGGGGCAGGGGATTGCTACTCCTGCTACACGCTCCAGGAGTTAAATGAAGTCTTAGTTTGGCGACAGTGTCTGACCTAGATTCTATTCAGAGTCTTTAGCCCCCTCCACACACACACTCCTCTGGATGAAGAGCCTCATGTACATCACTGGACGTTGTGTGTGTGGGGTGGGGGGAGAGACAGTGAGAACACGAGAGAGCCTACAACGGGAGTAAGAAAACATCTACGGGTTGAGGAGAGACGCTTCTCTTTCCAGTCATGAGACACCCTGCTAGAAGTTAATCCTAAAGATTAATTATATTCAACTTCAGCAGCACCTCCGTCAACTGATTAGTTTTCCATAAGCGCCGGCCAACGGCTAAATAGCAGATAACAGACTCGATAACCATTTTCCTGCAATTCTATATTGTTTCTCAACAGGGACTCCATGTTTATTTGACATAACATTTTTTCTTAGGTTTTTGCCACAATAAACTAAATTGAAAGAGTAGACTACACCAGTTTTTCTGACAAGATTACTAAATCTACCTCCTTCACTCAAAGTCCCACCCACAGTGATTGATTGACAGGTCTGAAACCCTACGAACTCTGTGACTCAATCATCCTGACCCCTCCCCTGACAATCCCACCCACAGCGATTGATTGACAGGCCAAACTGTTAAAGCAGGGGTGTCAAATTCGTTCCATGGAGGGCCTAGTGTCTGCAGGTTTTTGGTTTTTCCTTATAACTAAGCCCTCCGTGGAATGAGTTTGACATGCGTGTTAAAGGGCTAGTCCTCCCAAATTACTAAATTATATTGGTTTCTTTACCCTAAATGTCCAAAGCAGCAGAGCCAATAAAATAAATAATTTGAAAAACAAACATTGTGGCAATTCATATGTTGCAGTAAACTGTTAATATGACTTTAATCTAAAAGAGAAGACAGGTTTAATGTTAAAAACATTCCAGCAGGCCGCACCACTTTTCTAGGCCCACGGACCAATTTCACACAAGAAACTTACTGAATAATAGAATACTAGCGAAATATGGAAATTTGGTTGTGCATCAGTCATCACTCAATTAGCCCATGTCAGCTAAAATTAGTAGAATTGTATGAAATGAGTTATAAAATTGCAAAATCGTCACCCCATGACAAGATGTGTAGAATTGCTGCAAACTTGCTTTAAAAACAGCAACATTGTGGCCCCCACCCCCCATCAAAGTTGCCCATCCTTGGCCTTGACGATATCCAAAACAACTAGCACACTGAATTCAGACATTTTCAGTCATGTCTTTCTACTCAATCCCACAACTCATTTGACCAATCTGGGAGGTAAAGTCGTTAACGTATTCAATAACTTAGCTGTGTATTTTGGATGGAATTAAGATAGAATGTACCAGAGGCCACCAAAATAGAGCTTGTTCTGCCCCGGGGAGGCATGCCCCCCACAGACCGGAACTCCCTGGCTAGCTACTTTTTCTATTTGGCTGGCTACTCCATGGACTTACAGACAACACTGCTGATATACAGTCTAATAAGTCAAAAACAGTATGCCTTATGCCTACTTCTCCATTTTAATATAGAAACACAAGGCCTAAAGTATGCCTTATGCCTACGTCTCCATTTTAATATAGAAACACAAGGCCTAAAGTATGCCTTATGCCTACGTCTCCATTTTAATATAGAAACACAGGGCCTAAAGTATGCCTTATGCCTATGTCTCCATTTTAATATAGAAACACAAGGCATAAAGTATGCCTTATGCCTACGTCTCCATTTTAATATAGAAACACAAGGCATAAAGTATGCCGTATGCCTACGTCTCCATTTTAATATAGAAACACAGGGCCTAAAGTATGTCTTATGCCTCCATTCGAATATAGAAACGCAGGGCCTAAAGTATGTCTTATGCCTCCATTCGAATATAGAAACGCAAGGCCTAAAGTATGTCTTATGCCTCCATTCTAATATAGTAACGCAAGGCATAAATTATGCCTTATGCCTCCATTCTAATATAGTAACGCAAGGCATAAAGCGGACATGACATCACGTCAAAAGAAATCACTGTTTCGTAAATTAAAATTCTACGTCAAAGAGTTGCCTTTTGAACAGGAAATGGAAACAAATGAGTCCACTTGACATCTCCACTCTGACCAAGTCTCTCAGCGGTTGGTGAACGCTAGGAGTTTGGTCCCAGAGTGATTCGGCAGGGTTAAAGTAGGGACAGAGATGAAAGGAGGGCCATGTTTAATGCATTATGCTCCAAGGGGCTTTCGCTAAATAACTTTTCCATGGATACTGGGGCGCATCGGGGAGAAACGCTCCCAAACCTTGCGGCTGAGCCCTTGGGTCCCTCTGGCTGTGAAGACCTAATTAATGGAGTGCTATTTTCACCCCTTTAAAAGATGCAAAGTTGCGGTTGAGGTTTGTATGTGTGTCTCCTCGTCTATAGGAAATGGGAGTGTGAGAATAAGTAAGCTCCCTACAGCGTTATACAATAGTACAAATGGATTCGGCTCAACTCCTGGCTGACCCATTTTCCGCCCCAGTGAAATGTAGCCCTCCATACCTGTGGTGCAGAACACTGTTGGGTAAAGGTAGCAGCATTTACCACCCAGCTGGACCTAATAACAGGGTGCAGTTCAGCCATGCAACTAATCTAGAGTGACGCAGCAACTAATAAATCTGCAGGGGATTGACTTTTTCCATTTACAAACTGCTGTCAGTAAATTCCAATGACTGTGTCTGAGACGACTGTTTCCAGTCAGTGGCTTATTTTTCTCCTTCAAAAGAAGTTAAAGGTTTCACATTTTAATTTTTGTCAATTGCGTAATTGCACAATCTTCAGTAGGAAGTGAGAGCACAGGCATATGCATTAAAATACGTAATATGAAGCGGAGCTTTTTTGCCTCATTCATCAATTAATATCAAATCCAAAATGATGGAGTATAGAGTTCAAAAAAGTTGTTTTGACTTCACTTTCAAGATAAATGACATTATAGCTCCCTGAACTGCTACCCTCAACACAGTCCCTCTGCTCTGTCTGGCTGTACCCTCAACACAGTCCCTCCCAGCTCTGTCTGGCTGTACCCTCAACACAGTCCCTTCCCAGCTCTGTCTGGCTGTACCCTCAACACAGTCCCTCTGCTCTGTCCGGGCTGTAACCCCAACACAGTCCCTCCCAGCTCGGTCTGGCTGTACCCCTCAACACAGTCCCTCCATAGCGCTGTCTGGCTGTACCCTCAACACAGTCCCTCTGCGCTCGTTCCTTGGGCTGTACCCTCAACGACAGTCCCCTCTGCTCTGTCCTGGCTGTACCCTCAACACAGTCCCTTTGCTCTGTCTGGCTGTACCCTCAACACAGTCCCGCTGCTCTGTCTTGGCTGTACCACCTCAACACAGTCCCCCTCTGCTCTGTCCTGGCTGTACCCGCAACACCCAGTCCCCCTGCCTGTCTGCTGAAACCCTCAACACAGTCCCTCTGATCTGTCTGGCTGTACCCTCAACACAGTCCCCTCTGCTCTGTCTGGCTGTACCCTCAACACAGTCCCTCTGCTCTGTCTGGCTGTACCCTCAACACAGTCCCCTCTGCTCTGTCTGGCTGTACCCTCAACACAGTCCCTCTGATCTGTCTGGCTGTACCCTCAACACAGTCCCTCTGCTCTGTCTGGCTGTACCCTCAACACAGTCCCTCTGCTCTGTCTGGCTGTACCCTCAACACAGTCCCTCTGATCTGTCTGGCTGTACCCTCAACACAGTCCCTCTGATCTGTCTGGCTGTACCCTCAACACAGTCCCTCTGCTCTGTCTGGCTGTACCCTCAACACAGTCCCTCTGCTCTGTCTGGCTGTACCCTCAACACAGTCCCTCTGATCTGTCTGGCTGTACCCTCAACACAGTCCCCTCTGCTCTGTCTGGCTGTACCCTCAACACAGTCCCTCTGCTCTGTCTGGCTGTACCCTCAACACAGTCCCTCTGCTCTGTCTGGCTGTACCCTCAACACAGTCCCTCTGATCTGTCTGGCTGTACCCTCAACACAGTCCCTCTGCTCTGTCTGGCTGTACCCTCAACACAGTCCTTGCTCTGTCTGGCTGTACC